AGAAAGCTCTTCTACCTTGACTTAATTGACATGTCAGCACCAGCTCATGCTTTCGCAATCAAGGATGACATTTCTGTACGCCTCATATATACATCTTCAGTTTGAGAAAAGAGCAGCAAATGTTTTATCACAATATCACTTAAATAAAGGGAAGCACAACTGGGAAAAATTTAAATTTCATATATTTGAAGACCAATCAACTCCACACCAAGATATTGAAGAAGAAATAGAATCTCTCAAGAATGATTTGCAGGAATGCAGAGCAGCCAAATCAAACCTTGAAGCAGAAAAAAAAGGTTCTTTTTGAGGAAATGAGGAATACATTCAACAGCATGGCCAATGAAATAGCTAATCTTAAAAACGCTAACAGCCATCTTGGAGAGTACATAAAATGCTTTGAAAAAGGAAGGGATTTGCTTAAAAAGGAAAAACTATTATTGAGACTAAGAACAAGCAACGTACATTGAAGATTTTCTTGACCAGAGCTGACAGAGCAATGTGGTTCTCAAAAGCATTTGGCCTTGAGCTTGACTCACTTAAAGTTACAGAAGCAGAAACTGTGAAAACCCATGAAATTTATTCAACACTAAATACAGAAAAAACAGAGGGTTGTTTAACTGGTGACACTGACATAAGTGATACTGACATGTCAAGAGTTGAACAAATCCTGTGCTTGGTTGATAAATTTTGTGTCAGTGATGAGTTCTACTATGAACTAACCATGATTGAGAATGGTCTTCCAAGGTCTTATCTCATCAAACAATCACTGAAATCTGCCTCTTTTGCAGCAGATTTCAGCATTTAAAAAGGAAAATCCTAAGTTTAACTTTGGTAATGAAATAAAAATCACCTTTATGACTGAGTGGAAAAATGCTAAAAGAAGATGTACCTTAAAGCAGTTTCATTGAGGTTCTCTTTGACTTCCCAGGTGTCGTTAAGGGAGCTGTACTCCTTCCAACGAATTAGGTACTCATTTCTCATTTTAAAGACAAAATACGCACAGCAATTCTTGGTGTACGGTTGAAATTTTACATATGCTACTCATTTCAAACAAGCGTCATATTTACCTTTCCTTTATTTCATCTGCAACTCAACACTCTTTCAACTTGAAAGTAAGGGCTTTTCCTTCTTTTCGATCTACTCTCCATGAAATCTGCAGAACCAAGAGCATTTAAGCTGCGGTAATAGCCCTTCGAACGATTTTTCCTTCGTCCGTCCGCCATATTGAATACCGAAATTCACGCCCCGATCGTTCAATCCACTGACTGCATACGATTTCTGGTTATGAAGAGGATTATTCTAACACCTCGAACAAAAATACTTTCGAAACACTTCGGATTCGAAAGTAAGTAAGCAAGTAAGTAAGTAAGTAAGTAAGTAAGTAAGTAAGTAAGTAAGTAAGTAAGTAAGTAAGTAAGTAAGTAAGTAAGTAAGTAAGTAAGTAAGTAAGTAAGTAAGTAAGTAAGTAAGTAAGTAAGTAAGTAAGTAAGTAAGTAAAGACTTTATTTCATGAGGTTTAGATAGATAGATAGATAGATAGATAGATAGATAGATAGTTTATTAAAATTACATCGCAGCCAAAGGCTGAATTACGCAATTAATTACAAAAACTTTACAATACTTGAAAATTACAAATGAATCCAAGAAAATAAATCGAAAACTGATTTTTAAGATAACATTAAAAAATTCTATATAACATATTCATATTGAAATATGTTAAAATATAAAGCATGAATATAAGTGGGATAAAACTACAGCCCGGACTGTTTCGACATCGCTTATATAAAAGTATTACTTGTTGTGTTCGTGCAAAGCTTTGGCATATTAAAAAGGCGCTGTCTTCTTAGGGTCATAGCGTGAGTTGTCATGGTCTGGTGGAAGGAGCGCCTTCAATTTATGGTTTGGATCACTGACAATATTATCAAAAAGCCTGCTACATAGTACGTAATAATGCTCCAAAATGGGTGTTAACCCCACCTCTATTGCCGAGTTGCACTTTCCTGAGGTTATTACTGATATTGCTCTTTTCTCGAGCCGTATCAGCTCTTTCTTTAAGTACTAGGGGAGACCGTTAAAAAAGACAGGTGCTGCATAATCAATAACAGATCTCACGCACGATACGTAGAACAGTGCTAGATCTTGTTTCGGAACTCCCGCTCTCTTTAACTGAGTTAGGAGCTAGCGCGAAGTAGCCGGAGCTAATAAACTTGTGGCCCTCTAAATAAGAAATAAATAAATAATAAAACAATAAATGAGTATACTAAGCTATAAAAAAATACAAGGTAAAAAAACCAAAGAATACAGATACTACAGAATCTACCAATCTATTTTAAAGATAAAATATCACATTACAATCTGCTGACGATGTGATTGTAGTATCGTCAGCATAAAGATCGCTTTCAGAGGAGCTGACATGAAGCGGCAGGTCATTATTAAAAACTGTGAAAAACAAGGGGCTGGGTATACTGCCCTGAGGAACCCCGTGTTTCATAAGCGCCATATCTGAGACGCAACCACCCAAATAGACAAGCTGGTGTCTGTCCGCCAAATAAGACTGGAATCACTTCATTGTTTCGCCAGCAACACCATACACTTTCAGCCTATCTAGAAGAAGACCACGATCTACCATTTCAGATAGATAGATAGATAGATAGATAGATGAATGGTGCCAATTTTCCTCACTTGCAGCCAAGGGCTGAATTGCAGAGGAACCAGAGAGGTGAGATCGGACGTCAGCATATTAAAGGCGCCTCTGGCAGCCGCTTCAGTCCATTGTGATCACACCTCACCCACCCAGACCTACGACGGCACAAATCGAGATAGACCACAACACCGGGCACTACGTGCCCTACTCTTTGCGAACAGTGCGTGCGTTCTTTTACGTCCCACAATTTATTTTTGTAACATAGAAGGGTTGTGAGACGGGACCTCCGGCTTTACGTCTTATCCGAGAGACGAAGCAAAGTGGGTAAAGCATCTTGCTTAAGGATACAGCGACATGCCCCTGGTAGGACTTGAACCCGGGCCCTTCGACCCAGAGTCCAGCGCACTAACCACTGGACCACTGACGCCCCACGAAGGCTTTACAGTAGTCTACCAGCACCATGCCAATAACTCTATTCATATCTAAATTTAAAAGCAATTTGTTAATTATCTGTATGAGAGCAGTGTCTGTAATGTGATTCTTTCGAAAACCAGAGTGGCGAGGATAAATCAAATTGTTTTCAGTTAGATAATTGTATAAAGAGTCATGCATATGTCTTTCGATAACTTTAGAAAGGACAGGTAGCGCAGATGTTGGTCGAAATTTCTGAATGTCCCATGAGTCACCATTCTTATACAGAGGAGAAACTTTAGCTGTTTTCCAACGTTTTGAAAATGATCCACTGGAAAAGGGAAAGTTAATTAATCTCGCAACAACAGGTGCCGCTATACGCAACAGCTGAGAACTTATTTTATCAACGCCAGCAGCTTTGCGCGGACTTAACTTTTGTAACATAGTAAGCACCTGCGCACTAGTGATGAATGGAATAACATAAGATGTATCAGGACTTTTTCTGGATTTGACAAAGTCTTGCAGCTTTGAGGGTCTGATGGAACTTGCGATAATGTAGTTCTTAACCTATCTGCTATACTGGAAAAATGAGCGCTAAAACGTTGCGCCATGAGCTTTTTGTCTTCTATAACAGCTTCCCCGATATTAATACCGTTACTATCGCGCCTGTTCTTTCCTGAGCCAGTCAGTGTTCTTATTGTCTTCCACATTCCTCTTGAATTGCTTTTATTTTCCTCGAAGGCATTGCAAAAAATTTTCTTTTTGCGCTCCTAATCATCGCAACTGCTTTATTTCTTGCCGCTCTGTAATGAGACCAATCATCAGCATTATTGGAACGCCTTGCAGTTTTTAGGCAATTATCTCTCAGGTGTAGCTGTTTCAAGACAGAGCTAGTCATCCAAGGAGCTTGAACAGTGCGCTTTACATGCTTTTCAGGCCAGGGGCAATATACTATTAAAAACTCCCAAGAGTCCAGCATATCATCAATCTCATCAAATACGAATATTGTATCCTAAGGGGCCTGACTCAGTGCTTCTTTGAATCGGTTCTCGTCGAATTGCTTCATGTCACGATATCTAATATTCTGATTTTTCTGCATGCTACAAGATCCGCGCTCGTTGTTATATCTGCGTACAGCAAAAATAGGTACGTGATCAGAGAGGCCACAGTTGAGAGTCGATATAATCAATATTTGCTGAGGACGATTTGAATAGATGTGATCCAAACAAGTACCCTTAACAAGACGAGTCACCTCATTAACTAGCTGCGTGAAATTCATTATTATTTCTTCCGTCAATATTCACATCGCCTAAAAATATCGTCTCCTTATTCAGCAAGTACACACGTTCCAAATTTGCCTCCCGAGATAAATCATCAGCTTTGGTGTACGAGGGTTGGCGGTATATACTACCAATCAATAAAGATCGTTTCGACTTCGAGCCAAATGACTTCCACTTCTTGATTTTCCAGATCAGTTCTACGTATATAACATTCAGGTTATCGCTTATATAAGCTATGACACCGCCGCCAGATTTGTTTAGCCTGTCTCTACTGTAGATAGAATAACTAAGCACCTCAAAGAGAGTATCCGGCACGTTCGGCCTCAGAGATGTTTCATTTAAAAGCAAAACGTCCAACTGAGGTTTATCAAGTTTTCCCAAAAGAAACATTTTAAAAGAACAAAGTTTAAAACAGTTTTCCCAAAAGAAACAGTCTAAATGGTCTCCCCTAGAATGTCATTTCGCATCCTTAAATTTTTTCAACCAAAAATGTCGCCACGATATCAACAAACTTAAATTCAATCGTAACACCAAATTTTCCAATCTTTCTCCGGAAGAGTGATCGGCACAAAAAAGTCTGAAAAAACGCAGACATAGTTATTAAAGCGGCCGACAAAGGCGGAGAAGCTGTTGTTTGGCGGGCCTACCTCTACCAAAAAGAAGCTTTGCGGCAACTTTCTGACACCTCCTTTTATGCAAAAGTCGACAAAGATCTCACTTTAATTAACCAAAGCATCGTCAAAAATACGATTAACGATCTTATGGTTGAACAAGAATTGCCTGCCACTGCTAAAAATCTCACCATCTCAGGTTAATTAAGGCCTGGGTCACCCTGTCTTTAACCCATATTTTCACAAAATTTAGAATAACTTAGCTATTTTGCAAGGGATTTTTCTCATACTTGGCAGAAATGTGTATCACTACCATCTCTCTCGGACTGAATTGTGGCAGCGTAATATGATACTCTCAACAGCCAAAAACAGTTAATTTAGGCGTCAAATTCGTCGGTTGCTTTCTTGAGCAAATTCCCACCACTAAACACAAGGCAAATCAAAATGCAGTTATCGCTATGAATATTTGAGACGTTTTTTATTGTTTTCCCGCTTGGAATGGCTGCCAAAAAAAGGAGAGATGTGATAGGCAGATTAAATCAAGTTTTGTCTCTGCGAAGCTGCTTCCACTATCATGGTTTTCGCCCGAAAACATCTTAGCCTTTACCTGGTTCCAACCGCTATCAACGAAAGTAATCCCACAGGTTCCTATTTATTTGGAAAAAAAGACAAATTAAAACTGTTTAAGAGGTGGGAATTTTGAAAACTCGCAGTCACGTAATTCAACTTAGTGTCCGCCATTTTGACACGCGAGTCACGCGAGTGTTCAGAAGCAATAATTTAACGGCTGATACACTACCAAATACTAATTGGAGCAATCTCAGAAGTAATACAGGCAAACTTTGTATACTTTTGATGATATTTATTTCTTTTTCTCGTTTTCTGAGGTCGATTGCATCTCTGTAAATCCAGGGTAAGATCGCCTTTGACTGTTCTAATAAAACACAATTGCAAATTTGGGCGGTAAGAATAAAGAACGTTTGTAATTTTATCCCAAGTAGTATCATATAACGAGACTGAATTATAATTTTGGCGCAAAACTTGAAAGTTATCGCACTGATTCCTTGAAACTCTTCAAGATTTTGCTAGCTGAGAAGTTCCCATCGTGATTAATACCCTTCTTTGCACTTTCTTCCATAAAACCTCGAATTATGGAATATTTTCATTATACCGACGGTTAAAAATAAAGCATTTCTTCAAAGGATACAGCTAATCCCTTATCACACCAAGTGATTGCTTGTTCAAATCTCTTCAGTTCAACACAGGCAAGGGCTCCTGCTGGAAACAACACAATGGAGATATAATTACTATAGCTTAATTCCAAGAAAAGAACCAGAAATCATTGAAAGCTAACTTATTACAGTCCAGAAAAGACAAAGCAACTAAATGGAAAGAATAAACAGGCCCTATTAGGTTTCAGTTAGATTAGTTTTTGATAATTGAAACTTCTGAGGACATTTGAGTTGAGACTAACAATTCCCACAAAATCACTGAGATATATAGATATAACAAGACATGCCATGGGTAAACAAAAATATGAAAATCACTTTTTATAATTTGATAATGGTACATTTTTTGGTTAACTTTTTTAGAACTGGGTTTAATTTCAACTTCAATCAAAATACAAGAGACTCAAGCTACATTTTAAAAGTTCCCCAACAATAAGATTTACTCATGCTGTCTCTAGTTACATTCTTATTACATGTATTATAGCCTTTAAAGTTGAGTTATACTTCATGAATGAGGAAAGTTTCCTTACAGTTTTGAGTTCAGTTAAACCATTACTTCTTTTCAAAACAGCTAGATAGTGACTAAACATACCTGATACCACTACCTAACCCATCGAACAAAAGGAAACTAAAATACTCATGCCGAAATTTTGCCTTTAACTCAGCACTGGGTTCTTTATCCAACTCAAAATAATATTCTCATTATAATGGAAAGTCATGGCACAGCAGTCTTGCACTCCTAATTGAAGTCGATTGAGAAAAGATTTAACTTTATTTAACCTTAAAGTGTTCAGTTCTTGTTGTTATTATTACTATTAATAGCACAGCAATTATATCTAACCTCTCACAATTGCCTTGAGGTAAGTTGGATTTAACTCAATGGCTGCTTCTGCATCCCTAAGTGAATCCTGGTGATTTCCTGTTTTTTAAATACATATCTCTGATTAGCTGTACATATAGCAAATCCACCACCCTTACATTAATTTTATGAAAAACATGTGATGCTGATTGATATCTGGTATAAGAGGTTACTTCTTTGTATGTTTGAGAGGTCAATAAAAGGCATATATTTTTCTAGAGAATTTCTTTCTGGGCATATACATTCAAAATCATCACCTTTTTCAGAAACTACTACTGACAGCCCTTTAAGTTTCAAAAGGGAAAAATTGCATATTTTTTAGCTCTCATCATCTTACCAAGTTTAAAATGTGCAATAGCCCTGTTGTTGTACAGTTTGGCCTCCAGTTCTTTCTCATTGCAGTTCACTTTAATTCCTCTGGTGTAAAAATGAATAGCATTGATGAAATCTCCTTTCTTGAAGGCCTCATTACCCTCATTACTATAAACATCAGCTGTAGCTGCAAAGAAAAAAATTAAACATAATTTGTGTCAAAGTCTTTGGTTGTAGTTAATTAGTGTATAAGTATAAGCAGCCATTGTCTCCCTCTCTGCCCTTAAAGGAAAAACCCCTCTCAGTTAATTTATGAGATACTCTTTTTGCTTGAAAGCTCAATCAATTAGACTCAGTTTCTGTTGTGGTCATCATTTAGAAGAAAGGGTTGTCCCTACTTTGAAATAATCTAAGCGCAATCAAGAAAATTAAGATAAGAGCCCTAAGATAACCATAACAACATTGGATATGGGGAATTTGGTGTTCAGATCTTATGTTTCTGCAAGGAACTGACCAAAATCCTCATTTGTCAGGAAGATTTGATGATCCATATGACAGACATTTCTCGTTCTGTCTGTGAGACTCCCTGCCAATGAGAGAGAGTCGGCATAATTATAAGTGTTAAAGAGTCTACTGCTTTAATTACATTTAGATAGTTAATAAGTCAATAAGATCCAAATATTGCAATCATAAAAACTAGAGGCAATATTTCTTATTGACAAACACAGTTATTATATAAATGATAAGAATAATGATAAAAAAGATGAGATTAATAGTTATGATAATGCTAATAATGTGGGTGACAATAGTAGTGATAATAATAATGACAAAAATTAAGTGTCACTCAATTTGAAGTAAACCCCTGGGCATTCAACTTTTTGGAGAATGGTTTCCTAAAATTCCTATCCCCTTGGGTAAAATATGTGTTCATATGCCCCACCCAATTTTTATGTAAAAAGCAAAATAATTACAAATAGCAGCCATGACTTTCAACAAATTGACCAAGCTTGAAAACTGAAAACTTGAAGACTTTTTCCTTCTAAGCCATTTCTTAGTGAAAGTGCACTAACCCCTAACACCTCCATATTAAATAATATCACACTTGTATTCTACTGGAAATTAGTCTTGACACTTCTGGTTCAAATTCCCCAATGCCAGTTGAGCAAACTTCAATTGAGTGCTCTGCAGTCACATAAATTACCCTTTTTGCAGAGATCTGCATTTTCTGCAAATTGATACATTTCTCAGCTGGCTATTCAAAGACATTTGTTGATTCTGTTAAACTATTGGCTTGATAATATATCTACTTCTTTGGGCTGGCCAAGATAAAGGAGTTGATCAGTTTCCTTAAAATGATCATTAAATTTCTTGAATGATACCTGTCTAAATTTGGTGAAACAACAAATTTGTTAACATGTTGAGGGGGCATAAAAAAAGACATAACTTGCAAACCTCTGCTAATGTGTTTTAAAGCATTGATGATTAGACAATGCCCAGTTTATTCAGTTAAAGACAGCTCTCCAAAACACTTTGTATGTGCTCACCTGAACCCTGCAGAAAAAAGTTTCATGCAGCCTTGTACTCCTCCAGCTGAATAGTTGTTGTCAGTCTCAGCTCAGTCAAGTCAAACTCCTTCAGTATGTCCTTTGTCACAAGATATTTCTGTGCCATGTCATTCAGGTGACCTGTGCAATAGTCATACCACAGGGAATCCAGTCTCTCTAGTGAAGTACACAGGACTGTTACTATCAAACTTCCTGACTGGGCATCCAGGACAAGAACCTTGCGCACATCTGTTAAATACTCTAGAAATTCAGTTCGTTCCTCACGTTTGGTTGTGTCAACTGTCTGAAAGTACTTGTGTGCGATGAAATCCAGAACTCCTTGTGTGTTGGGTACAACATAAGTTTTAACACCTGCTTCTTCGATGCTTTCTGTTCTTCCCACGAGTGGTAGACCAGCAGATGCAGCAAGCTCCACTGCCTTACGCTTAGCTCCAGTAACTACCATCTTGAGGCTTCCTGCCTGGGTATCTTGTGTGCCTTTAGGCATTCCTTCTGATGTTCCAGTAACTACCAGCTCATCACCACAAGCTTGGGTACCCTGACTGGCTACAACCACTGTCCCTGGTGTCTCTAGTTGTGAATGAGGGTCTGTGATGGCCTCACAATCAATCTGCATTTGAATTTTAACTGTAAGGGAAAAAGTGTTATTAATTGCAGCAACTAGCCATTACAAAAGAGGCAAAACAGACAATTACTTTGAGTTATTGTCCAGCTATAGTCAAATAACAAATAACTGACAGTTCTCTGCTTCAAAAATGTACGAAGCCATTTCTGTCAAAATACATGTAACAGTGAGCACTGCACAGGTAACCCTGATACATTGTGTAAGTGCCAGTGTTAGAGGAAAAATACTTTACTTTAAAGAAAAAATAAACAGTTACAAGACCTCCCTAACCTCATGATTGCAACCCAAACTGCAAAATAGATCAACAGAGTGAACAGTTAATCTCACAAATGACAGATATGGCTAAATATAAAATGTCCCAGCTTAAGTAGGATGGATGGATGATTTAAGAGGAGAGGATCAAAACGGATTGCTTTCAATAATATTTAGAAATTTTCATTCCATGCTATGTGGGTATAATTTTGCTGGCAAGGAATTGGTGTTCAACTACTTAGATGTGTTTTTTCAAGCCTATGTAGGCTGAGAAATTTTACAAAAATACCTGAAATACTCTGATCTTAGTACCTTTAGCATATATAATAATCGAACAAGTGACTCGAAATCTCAAGACCTGCATCTTAATTAAGTCATATTTAAGGACTGTTCTTGCAAAAAGTCTATAATCCTTTTACTTTTCAAGCTTTTCAGTTTATGACAGCATCTTGGAAAACTTAAATACACAATGACTGGGAAGCTTAATTTCCACTTACTTTTTTTTTTGTTTTGTTTTTTTTGCAAAATTAAATAAATAAAAGTTTGGGAAGTTCAGCATTAATACAGCTGTAAAGGTTCTCAGTTTCACCTGGCTATCAAAAGACTTCATTTAAGGAGGTGAATGCATTATTCAGTTAAAAGAGACTTGAAATACGTTTCCTCAAAGAAGGGAAACTAGGCGCGCTAGAATGTGTAGTACGTTGCGTGACACAAGAAAGAAATCACTTAGCAGTCACGACGTGCTTGCTTAAGCCATCTACGTCGTTTACTCCCTATGATTTACAGGAGTACATACACAAATTCCAAATTCGAGGTAACAGTATATGATGTATCAGTTATCAAAAACAAAGAATTTTATCCATTCGCTTTAGCGGGGTAATGATGATAAACTAACGACACGCTTGCCGCTTCGATTATTCTCTGTGGAGGAATCAATTTATCAACTTCAACCTAAATTTTGACCGAACAGGAACCCAGCGAGGCTCAAGATACTAGTATTGTTTTGATTGAGCTGGTTTGCTGGTCAATCATCCTTCAACTACCGCAAACGACATTTCTTAGACATTCGAATCTGATGAAGATCTCGGAGATTTCCATTTGGGAGCTCGTTCACACTTCACTCTCTTAAATTGCGCTCATTCGACAGATTTTCCTAATCACAAAGGCTATATCTTCAATAGATCTTCAGTAGCAATTTAAATGATGAGTTGGAGATTAGCTCGCGCAGAGAAAATTTCAAATCAAGGGCCTTACCTTTAGAGTTTTTTTCGTTCGAACTACATCGAACTACGGTCTGTGATTCTTTAGCGTCGGCATACCCGTGAAAAGCGGAAGTAAATGAGTTCGGAGCGTATCATGGGAAAGCCCAACAAAAAGATAATATCAGGGAAGGGACGGTAGGGCATCAAATTGTCGTCCATAGCTCAGTTCTACCTTTTCAAGACTTTGGACGCGCAATTGTAATTAACTTTTAATAGTAGGACTGGTCAACTTGCCAGCATTTTTATGTAAACCACACAGTCTTAAGGGGGGAGTCTGGCTACATTTTGAGCCCAAATGTGTAAAAGATTGTAAAGCACATAAAACTCCAGCTATTTAACCCTTTAACTCCCAAGATTTCTTGAGTAATTCTCCTTACTGTCTGCCACACAATTTATGTGATCATAGTTTGGAGAATATGGAATTGGATCAACCAAAAATCCCTTAATTGATATTTTTTCTTTATTCTCATTACTTGTCTGCTTGATATCATACTGATAATGTAAGGAGAAATTCTGTCTAGGTCACTAATGGGACTTAAAGGGTAAATGCATCTTCAAAGAATTTTGCATGCAAATAGACTAACCCACTACCTAAGGTGACATATGGTTTGCATACCATAATAAGCAAATTTATGGTTAAATATTAACCAAATTCTTCATGGAGGCTTTTCTTAACTTTTCTCATACCCCTCCCCCCCTTCATATTTTTTGTTCTATTTATACAGAAAGCATAATATTTCTCACAGTAACACCACAAAATCTCCTACTTAGCTATTGAGCAATTTTGATTTTCACCAAATTGCATTGCCATAGTACCAGCATACTTTTGTATTGAGTTTAATCTGGAATAACATCAACTGAATTTAACCAAAATAACAAAGCCTCCATAGGTTTGTAGAGCAGCCTTTCATATGTAACTAAGCCAAATTTGGTAGAAAATAGATAAAACAAAATTGAAAAAAGCCTAAGGGGGGCATCAAAAAACTCTGTAAAAATCCCCTTTAGGGAAATTGCAGCTTAAAAAATTTGGAAAGCAAAATCACTGAGAAACATTCAATAAACATTCAATAAACATTCACTTTTGTCTCTTCTTAGCTGGTTCTGTTGTAACAGTCAGTTCATTTAAAGCACTAGCACTGTACATTGTGCCCTCTTTATGTCTCCATTGCTCCTCATCTCTTTGTTTTGCTTGTCTTTGAGCAACTCTTTATTTTTTAATGTTGATCCAGGGTCCTTTTAAATTCCCTCAGAGTCCTTTTTGGTGCTTTTCTTTTCTGGTTTTGGCCCTCGACAGCTGGCCCAGCCAGTTGCTCTTCCCAGCCGTTGCTCCTACACTGAATTGTAGAATAGCTGGTGCTGTTTCAAAGCTGAATTGTTTTGTTGTTTTTTTTCCTTGCCATTTGTGATTTAGGTATCTAATCCACACTAATATCTTCTCTACCAATCCCCATTTCACTGGCAACATAAACCATTCGGTGATTCAGATCTTTTCCTTACACTGTTCTGGGGGCATTGTCTGGGGGATTAACATATAGATTTAGCCCAGCCGCATTTTTTTTCCCCGCACGTCTCAAGGGCACAACGCCTTGCTCCGGCCAAGACTAGAACCCGGGTCGTCCGACTCGGAGCCCAGTGCACTGACCACTGGACTACTATACAAAGCCGTGGCGTTGGCGTGCCCGCGGTACAGATGCGGCTACACTCTGCGAGCTCCGCTATGATCACCAGTAGCAAGAGGGTCTCAATGGGGTGATGGCTTTTACGGCTATCGGTTAAAATTTTGGCCAATTTCCGGCTAACGGTTAACACCTTTCCATTGTTTCCACCAGACATATTTTTTACGGTTAACTTTTTTTACGACTAACGGTTAAAATTTGTCAATTTTTACGTCTAACGGCTAAATATTTTGGCCGTTTTACGGCTAACGGTTAACCCCATTGAGACCCTCTAGCAAGACCACAATCATCACAAATAGTACATGTGCTGCTGCTGAGGCCAAATCGGCTTGGGCTCATTTCTCGAAGTATTTGATGGTCTACAATAGCAAAATTAAAGAATTAACTTAATACTAACGATGCAAGACGAGAAAAGCAGTAAAGAAGCACCTTTTATAATGAATACTAAGTGAATTACGAAAGAAAAAATAATTGCCTCACCGGAAGAACATGGTGAATTAGAATGAATTCTCCTTGCAAATTCTACGAGACTCTCTATGGACACAAGACGGTATCCTTCTGGAATTTTACCTTTTGGATCTATGCTTCATTGGAAGAGCTTTCTGTGCATTCAACGGCAATTTTTCTCAAAGCAGCGGGCGTGGAATCTGTTCACTCACAACATCGTGAACGTGATTTCAGCAGCAGCATTTCTCGCTTGTTCCACGGGAAATTTCTTATGCTTACACTCATTGAATTTCGATTTCCTTTTTGTTTGTTTTTTTTTTCACAATTCTTTTTTAGAAAGGACTGTTTTGTCCGATTTTTCCTCCTTTTGGCATAGCGTTGTTACGATTATGAGTTAGAGTCACTTGGAATCAACATAAACAACATTCTCTACTTAGCAGCCAGGCCTCTTTACGCTTTGGAAACATTGAAAAGATAAATTTTGGAATGAACTGCAGGGACAAACGAATCATCGGACTCTAAAAAACCCTCCAAACGCCTTGGATTTGACGTGCATTTATTTGAAACGGTTTCTATGGAAACAGATCGACAAATTTGTTCACGTCATAAAGATTGAATTTTTTTCACCATTTTTTTGGTAATTTCTGATATTAAAAGCGTTGATACCTGAAAGCTGAAGAAAATTTTCCTGTCTGATAACGAGTAGAAAAAAAATGACTGAGTTCGTAATTTAACTCAAAATTTCAGCCAGAATCCTCCCTTAAACAGCGCATGCCAAGGGTACTGCGTTTTTGTGCGTGTGTTTGGGGGGAGGGAGGGGGGTTATTACAAGATTATTTAGTTTTATAAACTGAGTTGATAATGTAAATTGCCATCATCAAAAGTTTCTAAAGTTATATACATCGGTAGCATCTTTGTTTTCACGCTAGGGAAAGCATCATGTCTTAATAGCGTTTCTTTTTATCTTTAATGTTTTATAAAATCTCTAGCTATCCAGCTATCAAATATGTCGTAAATATCTTTTTGCAATAAAAACAGGAACCTTTCCAAAAAGCCCCAATCATTAACAGGCGTGCGTCAGGTGTTGGTCTTGGAACTTCAGTCTAAAAGTTTGGTACTAACACGACGGTGTACTTCACAGGAGATTTTACACTGCCTATGGAATGAATATTACTCAGGTCTTCTGAAGGGCATGGCTCAGAAATATCTTGTGACAGAGCAAGTTGTGAAGGAGTTTGACCTGACTGGACTGAAACTGACGACAACTACTCAGGAGGAGAATTACATAACTGCATGAGAATTTTTTCGCAAGGATTAGGTAAGAGGTAACACTCGAAACGACGGCTTTTGACCTCCTAACGGTGGCCAATTTACCTTATCAACTCCGTTGATTACTAAATCACCCTGTTATACTCTCCCACCGACGCATCATCACAGTTTATTTAGGAACTTACCCCTTTATTAATTTGAATTCCTATTTCCTTTCAGATCATGGTCCACTCCACATGAAAAGAGGCAGAAGTATGGGAATTGGCCAAGAATCGACATCCTGTGAAAAGCTCCAGAATATCGTACCAGGAACGCTAGATAAAGGTTCAGTTTGCTTACCAATTGCGTTACTTTTAATCCACGCAAATGTAGTTGTCATAGACGTAACGCAACCTTTCATACATTCCAACTGAATTATTAGTGTTATTAGTGTTTCTGTTTGTGCGTGTGTTTGAGCGTAGTAAATTAGTGAGTTCAGAGGTCACCAATAGAGATGATAACCATTTAGAGGAAGATATTCCGGAAGAGATCATTGTGGAGGACAACTTTTCAGAGCATTCTACTAGATATCCGGCGATATCCCTTTTGAGGGTGATTTTATGGATGATCTTCCCGACGTAATCATCGGAGCGGAAGTCACTACAAAGACAGATACACCAGAGGTTGCCTCTGAAAGAGAGGAAATTCCAGAAGAGATTGGTACAGAGAGAGATGCCCCAGAGAACGTTGTTGACAATTTAAATGATGATATGGCTGACGAGGTCATGGAATTAAGGATCTCCCCAGCTGATGATAATTTAGAGATGAAGAAAATTTTGAAGACAATCACGTCGAGGCTGAGGAAATTATTGAAGAAGCTATCTATGAAAATGAAGGTTGTTTGAACGAAATCTCCATTGAATGCCTGCAGATTTCAACGATTAACATTCCAGATGTTTCCTGTTCGAATGATGAAATCCCTGAAGAGGTTGACGCAGGGAATGAAGCTTTCAAAATGACAGTTTAGAGGGTATTTTTCGCAGGATAAGTGGTCGGAGGACGTCATTTCAGAGGAAGGAACTGCAAGGATGAAAAGTCCAATGAAAATAATTCAAGTATATTACACTGAAGAAGGTAAAATTCCAGAAGAAACATTTCCTGATCAGATCTAGAAAGATGGGAATGATCCCAAGCTGTTACGTACTGGAGAAAATCATTTAACTCAACGACCTTGAAGTACTCGATAATACTTGATTCTTGCTTAATCTGCTTCCAAACTGTGATCTGTAAACACCTAACGGTAGAGTATTCCAGCCTGTGACAGGATGGGTGACGCTGCAAATCGTCCTCAGTAATCTGAAGAGCAGGGTGACATCAAAATCTGCTGGTTTTCCGTACACCCCTGGGCAGTCCCACTGAGGCTTACTGACACACCACTGTCATTACACCATGGCTTCGGCTGACTCAAAGTTTGACAAATTTGTCAGATACAGACATTGATTCTATTATTGATTTTATAATTCCTAAAAACACCAAGAAGGCAACTGCAGGGGGAATATTTGTTCTGAAAGGAAAGGTTGCGAGTTTTAAATGTTTCATTCAAGCTAGTTGAGGTGTTTTTGCGTGTTGTCAACAGTTTAGACAGTTTGTCTGGTTTACCGAGTATATAGAGGTTTCGATGCAGTGTTT